GGTGCATAAAGATTTTTATAGTGATTTTTAAAATTCAAATTAAATGTCTGAAACATAACAGTGCTTTGACAGGGGAATTTCACAACTTTGCTTATGCTTTAAGAACACTTTTCATGTAGTACCATCTTACTATCACTAGAGTGTGATCACACTACATAACAGAACTTCAGAAAACAAGCTGACATACACACAAACACACACGATCCATTCACTTTCTCCAGCATGCAACTATTTTACATGAAATTCAATAAAGAGGGATTTAAGTGAATTTCCAGATGAGCCATGTTTATAGGTCTTGTCTGCTTAATCAAAAACACACCTACCCTGACTACCAGGGGAAAATTTCCAAAAACAATAAAGCTTGCCAATAAATGAGAGCTGACAAGAGAACGTTACCTCCACTTCTGTCTCCATGGAAACTTGTCTCCCTGGTCATTCTGTGGATATGGATGATATAGACTGGGGAACACACAGCTCTGTTTGCATCAGTTCACTTCAGTGTGCCTCCGCTTAGATGAAATGTCACAACAAGTGCCTTCACTTTATTTATTTGACTCAGAGGACGTTAAAGACCTACCTGACTCTAATTAGGATATGTTTTTGAATTCACATGTAACTCTTTACTTTGAAAGAAAATGCAGTGATGTGAAAAAAGATGACTGGGGACTTATGTTTAGTAGTTGCTTCTCAAACTATAAGATGTGATCAAACATAAAGCCATGTTATCCAGGGCATGCCGGTGCTACTTCTGAGTCTCGCTCTCAGTAACTGAGTAGTATGATGCCCTCTAAAGATCTAGAGAATGCAGCCCCCCACCCCCACTCCCCACTTTCTTTGCTGTAGTTGCATAGCAACAGAGGAGCTGCTTGCTCCAGTTGTGTTGGTGGTAGGAGCGTGCTGCGCAGGGAACCAGGCACTGGCTTGAGATTAAGCCTGTCTTGGCTTCAATTATGAATGGGCTTCCACTGCCACACAGCTCCGAAATGGCACAACTCAAAACGATAAGACATTGAGGAACTCTTTAGTACAATGATCTCTTTTGCTTCTTTCTAAGGGGGACGCTGAGTTTGACTTGGAGACAGAAGTATTGAACTTAAATGATTAGAGGGAGTAAATGAATAATTAACTGGCAGAAGAGGCCTGGTTATGATAAGACCCTTGTTGATGGGAATATGTGAGGTTAATGATTGGGGTCAGTCCTGAGAGCAAATTAAAGAGTCTCCAATCTCACAAAGCTAGTACTTTACCATTAAAAGGGGGTTAGTGTGTGTTGCATGCTGAAGTGGTGAAGAGAGAGGGTGATATGCTTTCTGGGAAGACTTTACTATATTTAGGACTCAGGGCAAAATTGTTAAATTTGTGGAACACATATACTGCTCTTGTAGCCCACATGAACTGACAATCAGCAATGCTGTTAATAACACAAACTTTTGTCTGAAAGAACAGCCAAACTAATCTTCTGCAACTTGTATTTTTTTATTATTGCAACCAACTGGAAGACAATACATCACATAAACATCATTGTAGTTTTTCAGAAAATGGAAAACAAAATAAAACAACATTTATATATTTTTGCCACAGTATTGGACAACGTTGATATTTACATGTAGTGATGCAATAGGTCTTGAAATCATTCTTTGGCAATATGATTGCACAATAAGGAGAGAATTGAACATTTACTGAAAAAAAAAACACCTGGGTGTACTCTGCATCACATCTCACAGATCAATAACAGTTTTGCATTTTGACATCTCTAACCTATGGCTTTCCAATATTCAGCTCAGACAGTCACCAAAAAGAATGGCAGTATTGTGATTAATTTTGTCAGAGAGAAAACAAAACAGAAAATGAAAATGTGCATAAAAACATCAACAAATAAAAAATGGCAACTGTATGCTTTAGGACGTTTCACTGTTTGTTTGGCAGGTTTGAAAGAAACACTTGTTTCAGGAGCTTCTCAGGCTGTGAATTACATTTCCTTTGCTTTAAAATGTCGCGTCTATATTTTATGTGTTGCTCTGTTTTTCCAGGACTAGTAGGTCAGGAGTTCATCTTTCCTGTATGTCACCGAGTGAGTCAGAGGAAAAAAAGGTGGTTGCTAAAGCAACACTTTCTCTTCTCAACATGCCTCTTGCCAACTAAACATATTATTAGTCACAACAGTGGACTGATACTGCAAATACTGCAGGGGGACTCAGACAGGTTTCAGACGAGAGATGGGTGACACGTGAAAAGAACACTGACAGAGTCTCCTTTTAGCAATTTTATATGTTGGCATGGATACCATACACAATGCAAGGCCAGTGATGCATGCTACAGGTGGTAAAAGACAATGGATGGGACATGCATTTTGTTTGCCTGCTTGTCTTGCTGACAGTCACTCAGCATCTATTTAGCTTAAACAAATCCTTGTCTGACTCTGCTGCTACAACCTATGTTTTGTCCTACAAAGCTACTTTTTATATGCATTGCATCTTTGCAGGTGGGGGGGAAAGTAATACTTTAATGCAAACACATGCCCAGTAATGGCAGTGCAGTATCCATATCACCTCTGATGCAAAAACTGTCAAAGCTCACCACTGTGAATTTCAATCAAGTCAGTGTTTTCATGGCCCTTAGTGAGATACACATACACTTTGCACACTGGCGTAAAAAAAATCAATATCTGATCTCCAGACTGGGCTCTTAAGATAAATATGTCTGACATCCACAAAGGCAAGTAATACTTTTAATCAAAGGGTTAACAATACTGTATGTAAATTAGAAAACAAACATTTATGTCACATACCATCTCCTACATTCCCTTCTTTTCAATTCAACACCCAAGATATGAGATTCTTCCAGGACACCTACTAAGTTTCCCATGCCTGTCTGATCCACACGTTTACACTGAACAATGTCGATGGAAACTAAGGACACGCACATTTACACACAGGAGAGAGAGAGAAACAAAACAATACTGTTATAAATAAAGACAGGTAGCATTCTGTCAAAACATGTCAGAGACATGACAACAGAGGTACCGAGGGCAGGCAGGCAGGCACAATGTTAAAGGGTGTGTGTTCCTGGGCACACAAACTCACACACTCTACAGATGTGTGCTGAAATAACACTGGGTTTAACATTGAACACCTAAAAACCACTGTACAGGCAGAAGAAGACGGAAGCCCACCCCCTAAGAGGTGATTCAGCTGGCCTACGTAGCCTGAACCTGAGGCCCGGAGGTGGCACCCTCGGGCCAGAGTGATCTCCCACGTTCCTCCCTGAAGACATGTCTTCAAAAGCCCACTCAGAAAGAAGAACCCATAAGATTAAAAAAAAACAAAACAAAACAAAAAAAAAACTTCAGTATAATCACGGGTATAAGAATTGGCGGCAAAACTTTTTTCTTTCTTCTAGGATCAAGGTTTATATGAAAATAAGTCATGCTTCATGCTAAATACATTGTTTATCTTACATGATCTTTGAATAAAAAAGATTTGCTTTTTATCTTATTTACAAGCACCCATGCAATATAACTGAGAAAGTCCTGCAGGTCAAATTGCTTCAATTAAGAAAGAAAAAAAATAAAATATTTTCTAACCTTTTTACAGAGTTGTCCACATGGGACAAATTGCTTATATCTTTATGAGGGTAGAGTGAGGGTAAACAGACACAAACAGAAATCCAAACCCACAGTTTATGTATATAGGTCTTTGAGACTGTCAAATGAATCGGAAGGTGTGGTAGCTAGTGGTAGCTACAATATCTATACCAGGTGTCTACGGCTATGGACAGAAGAAGTACTGGAGGATTTTTAGGGACGTTTACAATATGCAACAACAACAACAACAAAATGAAGGAGATATTGCCTCAGACCCGGCACACTATCCATCTCTATGGTGATAAACATGAGCATTTTTTAAAAATTTTTAATATATCTATTCTTAAATACTATGAGTGCTCTTGAAATAAACCATGTTTTTACCCATGATGCTTTATTATAAGTGGTGTAAAATAATCTTAAGTGCATGAATATATATCACATTGGGTTTTACAATTATCTTGACACTTAAGGTCATTCTCTTTCGGTCTTCGTTACTACTATGCCTTCTTTTTTTTTGTCAGCTGTCGTATCGGCTACATGAAGCAACCTGGTCGCTTATCTTTGGCACAGTCTCACATTTGTGCTCGTGGTTGTAGGAGAGTGATGCTAGTGAGCGGCTGAGAGAGAGAGAGCTTGAAGTCTTGTTAGATAGGTCTGTCTCGTCGGCTCCGCCGTCTTTGCTGGCATCACTGCAAGATTGCTACAGATTCACATAGAAACAAACAGGTAAGACAAACAGCCATCTTCTGGTCACGTACTATATGCTCCTCAATGTGATTCGGTTTGGTCGTGGTCGACTTGTCCTAATTAGCGACAAAAACATGCTTTTTTATGGCTTTCATCCCCTTTGAAACAACAAAAACAACAAAGACACATGAAAAATACCCACTGATGTTAGTGTTGCTGAACATGTAGGAAAACATAGATTTTTGATATTGCCACAAATAAGTAGGATTCACCTAATGCCCTGCAGATAGATAGAGGGAGATGAGAAGTGTCCGTTGAGACTAATGCTGTAGTAACGTTACCTGTTGACCTATTTGTGTATTTGTGTCACTCTGTGTGTTAAGGTGTGTGTGTGCTTTGAGATGTATACTTGCAGTGTGTGTTTGCATGACTATGTACTTGATCTATGTGTGTGTCTTAGTTTCTAAGGGCCTCTTTCTGCTCCTTCTGGCCCTTGGCGGTGCGGTTTGTGATGTTGTTGAGGCAGGCTCTGACCCCCGCCAGGTGGAGCAGTGACCCCGCCGCCTCCTTCATCTCCTCATCGTCGCTCTCCGGCGGCTTCTCCACAGCCGCTGCACGCCGCTTCTTCAATGGCAGCGTGTCGCTAATGCCCCTTGCTCGGTTTTTGGTCCAGGGCAAACTGCTTCCAGCCAGAGTCCCAGCTCCCACCCCTGAGCTACGTCTCTGTCCGCGCAGGGGCTGCTGGGAAATGTAGGTAGCAGCGGCAGTGGTGATGTGAGAATCCAGCGGAATTTCCCGGGGCTCAGGTTTGACGTCCGATTGGATCTCCACGGCGATGATGTCGTCGTCGTCCAGTGGGGAGGAAGAGGTGGCGACTTGGGAGGAGCACAGCCTGCTGGGGGATTTGGCAGTGCTGTATGTGTGGTCGTCCTGGAGGTCCTCACTACAGGGCAGAGGAGAGTAGCGAGATGGGCTGTCCTGTCCGCGACTTAGATAATCTCCCAGGGATGATCTGTATGAAGCAAGGACACAAAGTAGGAGAGAATACGATCACTCCTGCTGTCATGTTGAGAGCCTGTGTATGCTTCACTCCTCTGAAGCTGCTCCAGCCTGCTCTGCATGTAGCTTGAAAGGTGATGATCTATCACCCTTAAAATATCCCCTTAGGCCTAATGTACATATTTCTCAAGTAAGATTAAACCTTGTATCTCCAAAAAGTGTCAGCCTTTCCTTTTATTAAATGAACAGCCTCATTTTCAGATCACCACCTATGCATTTTTAAATAACTCAGTGCACTTTGAGCAGCTCTCATGTTCCCTGAGGTTGTGGAACTTGCTCAGCACATAAAGGACCTTGCAAGCTCTAAAGTCAGACCACCACAGAAGAGAAGCCATTTCAATTTTGCCCACTATACATCAGCTAATTCAATATATTGCTACACATAGTTTGCTGTATTAGTCAGAAGACACATTTCTCTATAAGGCATTAAAGGACAGGAATGTGGAGGAGTGAGTCCTGTCCCCGGGACACCATCTCCCTTCAAAGTGAGAAGGTTAGCATATTAATATCTTATAAGCAGAAACATGCAGCACTTACAGTGATCAAACATTCACTGCATACCTTTAGTGGATGTTTAATTCATCAGGTGGTGCAGAGACCATCATACCCTTATGTTGTTATGATGGATGTGCATGTCCATGCTTGCTCTGAATGTTCTCTGAATCACGAGGCCTCTCCCTCTAATAAACCTGTCTGTGTGTGTGTATGTGCGAGAGCCCGTTATATAAACACACCTGGATAGAATGTTCTGAACAGTGTTGAGCGTGTGAATGCCTCTGACATTTGAACACAGTAAAGATGTAATTAAGTAAACTATCAGTGGAAAGTTTCAGCACAAGGTCTGTTTGGTGTACATGTGTTTTTTGTGTTTGTTTGCGGGCTACTGTACAGTATGTGCTTGTGTGTGTGAGGGTGTGTCTCTCTGTGTCTGTGCGGGAATGTGCTTGTTCAGGGAAAGCTCTTATATGGTTCAGCGTAACAGGAGCAAGGTTTATCCACCTTATGGCCGAGGTTCTGCTCCCCACAGGGCTTACAGGTAGGGGTCTGATCACGGGGAAGAGGGCCTGGCTCCTGACGCGGGCACCGTTTTGGATCACACCACGAGGAACTAAAAGAGAGAGTAGAACAAATAAAGACTTGAAACACAGATCCAAGCTACATTAGTCACATGTATCATGCAAATCGGTTTCAAAGTTAATCCTGAGGATGTCAAGAAACACACAGGAAGCATGTCCAAGACACGATCGGACCTCGATAAGACCTGGGAGAAGCTCAGTGAGCATTCACTGTACGTCTGAGGCCAACAGGGCAATATTGATGAGCACGGCAAGGTTAAATTGAGCGGGAAAGCGTCATAAACGAGTTAAGGCCACTGCAAATCATTCAATTACCAATGACCGCTGGGCTCGGCTAAATCCAGCCTTTCTAGTGCCGTGGGCTGAACAACAGGCAGCTGGAGCTTATGTGGGACAGCACAGAATCACAAATGTGAGAATGCTGACACGTTTACTGTGTTTAAAACTCAGATACAAATCATTAAATATAGTTTTAAACCAATTCACATACAAATTCTCAAAGCCAAAAAGGTTTTACATATTTATTAAAACCGATTGGCTGTGCTAACCAAATTTCAAAGAAACTGGAGAATGTGCCAGAAGGACAAGCGTCTCCACAGCAGTCCATCTGAGTGCCATTTTACTCTTCTGAATAAACAGACATATGGCAGGCCCACCTGGAGTACACCAGATAATGCTTTCTGTCATTTAATGAGACGAAAATTTAATTCTCAGGTCTGAAAGCCAAGCATTTCAACTGGTAAAAACCAGGTGCTGCTTATTACCTGGCTATCACCTGGTGTCTCAACACTGCAGCCCAATATTGGCACCATCAGACAAACAGAGACGGGCCCTTGCAGACAACTCCGCAGAACAGCACAAAGACACACCCTGAATCACACAACCAGAATAATGGACTGGCTTTGGGGGGGTGATGCTAACAAGACATACAATGACAGTAATTTTGAAAGATGGTTCAGCTTCCACTGTGTCCATGAAGGTACAGGAACATTGTCTTAGTATAAGAGTCTTTAAAAAAAAAAAACATTCAGAACTGGCACATAAAAATGTTTTGGATACAGCTTCAGATTTTCCATCAAGGTCAAAGTTTTGTCTTTGGTTTCCTACTTGTGGAAAGATCTGACCAATTTCACAAATACTGAAGGGACTGTGAGAGACCAGAAAAGAACTACTAACCACTATTTTTATTATATGTGTTGTAGAAGAGAAGAGAAGAGAAGAGAAGAGAAGAGAAGAGAAGAGAAGAGTACAGTATGTCTATATAGGAGCCCAAAGCTCTCATTACTCAGGGCTGGCTAGTCACCGCAGCCATTCCAGTTTACTAAAACAGCTGTCGTTGTCATCTCCAGGGTCAGTTTGCATTTCACAAATGATGACCTGCTGTTTGCTTTACCTGCCGCAGAAGCATTTGTTAAGGTGCAAATGCTAAAACCGTTTAGCCACAGCATCAATATGCTGTAGCCAAAGCCTTTTGGTTTTAAATCTTAGCCATTACAGTAAATTCATTAACAGTGCTATGAAGAAAAATTTTCTTTGCCCCAGGAACCACAAGCTCATTAAAACATCAAAGTTGGTGAGTCCCCCTCTCCCGCAACAAGAAAACCCTCCCACGATATATATTTGGTCCATGTTGTAACACAGAGAGATGAATTATGATGGATTTGTTTGTTGTCATTGTTGGTGTGTATCCGCAGCGGGCTGTGTCCACAGTAATCTTATTGAATCCGGTTAGCGCGGCTCTGCCCCTGATATCTGCAGCTCTGCTCTCCATAACCTTATAAGTAAGTCCCTGCACAGAGTCTCTTTAGTAATCTTGATCACTCACTGCATGATTGTGTGTGTGTGGGCAGTGCATTAGGTCTCCCTGGGTTCACATGCACACACCCCTTCCTCCCCACCTCCCGCTCCAGTCAGGCTTTGGGTTGCCATAGTAACGTTCCCCTTCCACATGCCACAGAGTGGTAGATCATGCATCAGCAGAGAAAGTGATAGAGAGAAGCAGAGAAAGAAAGAGAAACTGGGGAAAGAAATACCAAACTCTGTTTAACATGGTTTTTCATAGATCAGCGACACACTCTTGACCGCCACTGTTTACTCTACACACAAACACACACACACACACCTTGCTAGCACAAGGATCGACAACTGTGTGTGCGTTCTGTATCCTTGCCCCCTCACTCCGCTGATTGATTTTCTCAGCAAACCTTTCTCTTTGTCTTTCTAATTCCATCCTCTTGTTGGTTTCTTTCTCTCTCTATCAATCTCGCGGTCAGTCTATGTATAGTGGTGACTCATATCTCCAACTGAGCATGCACGCTGGCTCTGCAGGTAAAAAGCCTGGGACATATGCTGAAGAGATGAGGTGACAAACTAAGCTGGGAAAGAGCAGGCAGTGCTCCCAGAGCCAGCCCTCACTCTGTGAGATTGAGCAGTACATTTTACAAGCACAAAGCAAACAAACAAACAAACTCGGCTCGGTAAGAGTACTGAGGAAAAATGTAAATACAGAAGAAGGTTTCTGTGTCTCCGCCTTTTCTTGGAAAGAAAATATCATCTATTGTGTCTTTTTTCCTATGTCTGGTCAGCTGCTCTGCCTTTTCTGTCTGCCTCCTACGTCTTTGCCTGCTGCCCGTCTCCCTGCCTGCCTGTTTTCCAGGGCGAGTGAAGCCCTCAGCCTCCCTCCCCTCTCTGCTCTCATACGCCGTACACACACTGAGCCTCCTCTGCTCGCTTGTTAAATGAGTTCCACATGGCCCTGCAGGCTGTAGTCTCCGCACGGCCGGCAGAGGAGCGGAGCAGGCACCAAGTCCACACACAAACATACACACATGCTTGTAAAACTCTTACACACAGTCCAAAGGTTTAAAGGTCACTTGCAGCAGACCTTGAGAAAGCAACCGTTTAAAAGTGTACCTCCCCCCCAAACGAGTCTGAGTCTGCGGGCACGATGCATACTAATGTTGACTGACTGACTGACTGGATTGCTGGTGGGCTGAAGTTGCTGGCAGATTAAGTGGATGGCTAACTGGCTTGTCTATCTGACACTCCAGCCGAGTGTTTAAGTGGTTGGTTGACTGACATTTGCTATGATTTATGGGGGTGGGGGGGACAAGACAAAACATATGCACTCATGTGCTCCTGTGCTGTATATGACAATCCTGCTGCTAAGTTTCAGCTCTTACCTCCTGTTCTTTATTGTTGATGCAGTTTGTCTACATTTTGGCACATTGACACAATTACTTTGAAACCATAAAGAGGCACTCCACTGATTTTACACATGACGTTTACTAGTCACAGCGAGTGTCGAAGACCTGTGAAAACAGGTGTATGATGATTTAGCAGCTCCGAAGGGAATGCACTGAAGTTGCACTGTCACTTAGTTGTTAGTTACTTTGTAAGCTTTGACCTTGTCTGACATCTACTGCATTTTGTGAAGAGATGTAATTCAACAGACATAAACCCAATATATCTTTTATACCTTTTAAGCAGTAGAATAGTGATGCACAAATTTATCATAATTAAACATTTAAGAGCTGGTCAATTTTCTGCTGATAGGGATAAACTCTTTGCAGCGGTTAAAACCAGTTCCAAGTAATTCAACTAAAAATGTTCCTATTTAAATGACAGCAGCTAACCTAAATGCTTAAACAATATCAATAACATGGGCAGACCCAGGGGGTGGCCACCCCCAGAATCTGATCGACCCCCCCTGCCAGAGTCGAAATGTGATGCTTGTCAGTACTAATGAATGTGCAGCATCGCTGTTCCTGGCCGGGAGTAAATAAGGAGCACAGCCAAAGTTAGCTAAAGAAAGCACTATGCGTGTTTCGTTTTTACATAAAATAAGCTATTTCATTCTTAATAACGTATTTTTATTATTTCATAGTACTAGGGTTTTAATTTACTTTCTCCATATATTTGAAATGTGCCACCCCTCTCTGAATCTGTGCCCCAGCCTGGCCAACCCATCCAAAATGTTCTACATTTGCCGCTGCACTTAGGGCCAGCAGATCCTCCATAAGATATTGAATATATGAACTTGGGGAGGTGTGGTGGCGGGCTAGGTTAAGGACATGGCTGCCAGCCATTGTCCTTGTGTTCATCCTGAGCTGGTACTGGGCCACAGGGAGAGACAGATTTCAGCCCACATCAGCTCAAAGCAAAGACGCTCTGAAAGCTCTGGGAATGGGAGATGGAAGTAATAATGGAGGGCACTAACAGGCCCAAACTCTCTCTCTCTCTCTCTCTTGTAGTTCACCTCTTTCCCCTCCTCCTCTCTTTTTCCTAGTCTTTGCCTCTGGCTGTCACAGCTTTCTTTCTCCCCGCTGTCTCAGGTTGTCACGCCCAACCATTCTGCACCCTCACTCCTTTCAAAAACACATTACACACTAAAAAAGTTTCCCTTTTCTTGTCTCTCCTTGTCACATGTGCTCTCCAAAAGGGCCTCTCTGTCTGTCAATCTGCTGTATCTGTCCAGCTGCTCAGACACATCACTCTCAGACTGTGTGGGTCCAGAGGGAGTCCAGATTTTCAGACACTCTCTCCAGCCTCGGCTCCTTGACCATTACTACTCCATTATCAGCAGCGATGGAGGGCACGCCACAGACGCCTAATGTATCCATTTCCCCCTCCATTTAGGACTCGGCAGCCCAGCGAGCTCCTGGAGTGCTCCCTGATTGGGATTGAATGTCCATTTAAACTGCCGTCCAGCCACCAGGGAGGTCAGGGGAAGGAAGAGGAGAGGAATAATGGGACGTAGGAAGTGTATATGAGTGAAAAAGTGAGACTGTATGTTGTGTTGAACGAGGAACGGAGGCAGGGGGATTGCTCTGCAGCCTGTGATGTGAAGCTGAGACTTTCTCTCCTCTCTCTGTCTTTCTTTCTTTCTCTCACTGAGTCTCTATCACTTTTTTTTTTTTTTAGTTTTCAAATACACCATCGTAGAAAAAGCATTCCTCCTCTGGCACCAAGCCAAGTGTCAGAACTCAGGACTCGGTATTCTCAAGGTGCGCTTCTAAAAAGAGGGATTTGGAATTGAGATGATTGGAGTTGGCACATCCGTAGACAGTGGAAAGCGGGGAGGAGGAGAGAGGAAGAGAGTGAGACAGAGAGAAAGAGAAAGAAGCAGAGGAACAGGCGGGAGAGCACATACATACAGTACAAGACTTGCGGAGGTGAAACGGTACCTTGTAGGAGAACTCCTCCGTTCTTTCTGAAGAGGGGACTCCCCGACCACAATGGAGGACTAGAAAGGAAAGAAAAAGAAGGGATGGAGAAAGAGAAACGGGTCAGTCAAGTTGCAGCAGCCAGCCAGCTCAGCAGGCTTCATCATGAGGCAGATAGCAAGGCAGGAATTTGAGCCCATAAGCCAGTGCTTCTGATTATAGTGATTAGATTCCCGGGTGTCCCACTGTTGCCATTATTCCCTGTGATTACCTCGGAGAATTACAGCCTCGCTGCTGTAGTCCACGGGGGTAATTTCTCATGACAACCCCCACCGCACACCACTGGTCCATTCACACACATTCAAAAAACAAAAAAAATAAAACAAAAAAATCCTCATTAGACACACATACATTTAACATGTGCTCAGGTCAAATGGGTATGTTTAAGACAAACATGCCTTTGTTGTGACACATTAAAACACACACGCTTACACTGCTGCAAATGCACATACACATACACACTGAGGCACACACAAAGCCGGCTACTCAGTTTAGGTGATCATTGCACCACTAATGAGGGAGGTAATGATGGCATTTCTCACACAGACAGAGACATCTTCACTCACACATACTCATACACAAGACAATAGATACAGTTCTGCTGGTGAGTCCATATACTTAAGACAGAAGGAGAGAGATGGAGGGACAGAGATGGAGAGAAAGAGAGGATGCACTGTATGAGCGTTGCCAGATTGAGTGGTCTTTAGTTCTCCATTAGACAATGCATCTGACTGCTCCTTTCTTTTCCTCTCTATACTGGAGCTAGACAGGCTGTTCTCAAACACGGTGGAGTCTAACAACATGCATCTTGGCCCTACAGTATGCACACACACACACACACACACACACACACACACACACACACACACACAAGCAGGAGAGAAAACACCTGGGGAGGCTGTGAACTCTAAAAAAGCAACCCACTTGTTTCCACTCATCAGGAGAGTTTCCTTTGTAATATGAATCCTGTTTTATGTTCTGCTAAGCTGCTGAATGAGAGGATTTGGACGTCTGCACTTGTGATGTGGCTCTCACCTCAACAGATGCAGAGGAAAGATGGACTCACACACACAGCTGGACACACAAACACATACACATGCAGCAACACGAAACAGCAAAAGCAGCAAATGCAAATATCAGCCCTGAGCCACCTGCTGTTGCCATGGAGAGTTGCCACATTGCGTTGCCACGGCGATAACATATTTTTCCTGCACTAACAGCCTGTCTGTTTTCCCTACCACCCCACCCCCTGCCTATCTTCATCTCCCCCTCGCTCTGTACCCCGCTCACTGTCTCCCTCATTCTTCCTGTCTATCTTCCCACCCCTGCACTGTCTCTCTCTCGCTGGCAACAAATGGCTTCACAGTGCGACAGCACCTGCCTTACACTACATGTGTTGCCATGGCGGCGTTCCCGTTGCCAAGGCAACCCTGTGCATTTAATGTTGGGAGCAAGGGACTAAACTAGTGACGGACGCTCATTCTGCAACACCCCAGCCCCCCATCTCCTGTCATGCTTTTTCGCCACAAGAGGAGAGAGGGAGGGTGGAGGAAAAAGATAGACAGAGAGTGAAATGGAAAGAAAGAGGGAGAGAGCTCCTCCCTAACCCCCATGAGACACCCCTCCCTCCTTGCATCCAGATGCTGATGGGGTGTGAAGGAATGCACCACGGAGCTGACCTCCTGCCCAGCATGCGCTCTCTCTCTCTCTCTTACACACACAGACACACATTTGTTTTCATTCCTCATGGGGACTTTACACCGACTTACAAACCATTACCCTAACCTTAAACTAAGTTGTCACCTTAGAGCCCAGTGATGGTAGTGGAACGGCATCTGGTCCTCACAAGGAAGGTCAAGCCCCCACAGTGTGAGTGTATAAGTGCACACTTGCATATGGAGACACATAAACAGCTATTTGGAAATACATGCATAGGATACGTACATTCACACACACACACACACACACACACACACACACACACACACACACACACACACACACCGCTGGACAGACACCCAACTGCACTGACTCACACACATACAAATGCAAACACATATGCAGACATGCTCTCGGAAGCAAGCCACAGGTGGGGGTCGGCTTGTGCCGCGTGAGTTATTGTAGTCAGTGAAAAAGCAAGAGGTGAGCGACAATGGGTAGAGGACAAAGAAGCGTCCCTGCTCTCCCTCTCTTCCCTGCTCCTGTCTCAGCCTCTTTTCCGCCTTTTTTCCATCTCGTCACTCTGCCACTTTTTCTCTTTATCTTCTCATTCTCTGCATTTATCTCCCACTTCTGATTTGTGTAGAACTGCCTGAGACAGTCCTTGACCTTAATGTAATAGAAACCATTCATGGCCATAACACTTCATAACATAATATTCTTGAGAGTGAGTGCTCTTCAGAGAGATACTCTGTTATACTGATTGGACCTGCTGAGTTCCAACACAGATATTAAGGAAACTGTTAATACCTTACCCCATATTCTAATATAGATAGTGTTAGTTCATTTATTTTAGTCTGGACCATGTTCTGGCTTGATTTATGTCCCAATCCTCTGATCCAAACTGTGAGATTCACTGCTACATGCCTACCTTTGTACAAAAACAATCTTTTAAGCTCTACTTCTTCATTAAAAGAAAACTGGAGCAGTTGTTAACAGTTTTAACAGACTTTGACTGAGCTGAATTGCATGTTCTGCCTCGTACAGAAAAAAACTTACAAGGGCATTACTGAAGGTGACATTTTTGTTGTTGTTAATAAACTGAAATAAATCACTCTTATCTGGTTATCACATCTTCTTCTTCAGTGGATGAAAAATGTTTAAGATTAGCACAAACCACGATAAAGGCTGTGTGATACAACTGAAAGCTTTGGAAGAAAAGATAACAAGTGGATCTTAAGTGGGGAATTTCTTTTTCTAAGGGCAATAATAAACTTCAGTGTCATTCACTATGCTTTTGTTGTTGTTGTTTTAACCCATTGCGATCTAAAAACCTCCAGGCAGTACACACCTGATTATTGTCTAAGTCATAACAAACTGCAATTGCAAAACCTGACCTGTCCACGGTGCCCCCTTTGTGCCTAATTATCACACAAAGCTTTAAAGATTAATTACCTTTAACATCTTGGAAGCTACTTATTTTCAGAGTCTCCACTTTAAAGTTAGGACATACATTCATTCCAGGCTGCAGGATATTTTCACATATGTGTTCTATGTCTGCTTCAAAAATGTCTTTTTCTTGCTGATCTAATGGTACAAATGGGAATATTATAGTTATCTTGTCAATCACCTTAAACACGTTTTGCTTATTGACACTGAGATATGTCATCTTTGGACACTTTGACGTGGCTGTGGACCCAGCAGCATTACTGAATAATGTGCCAGCAGCATAATGTTATTAAAGAGGTTAAAGGGTCACACAAGTGGTTTTCATGTTTTAGCACATTAGCAACAAATTGTGCAGACTGTACATGCTGTGTATGTACTTTACATCGCTGCTGGCCATTTCCCAAAGCACACAATAAATTCTACTTTCCAGTAAGCTACTGGTTTCCATCAGTTTCAGGATGGTATCTAAAAAGTCAACTCACACAGGCTTGAAAGAAACTTGCATTTCAGTCATAAGTGAAAGCTGTGACAGTTTGAAAACTCTTTTTCAAGGTGCTCCGTCACCCAAAAACCAAAAAGTGCTTTTTACATCAGCAAAAATTAAAGTTGTGAAAAGGCTAGTGCAAATTTCTTCCAAGTTTGTCTTTCAGCAGCTTACTCTTAAGTATTTGATCTGTATACAAATGCACTGAATCCCTGCTCATAACTGCAAACAACTTACATGGTTTTGACAAAAAAAGGCAACAAAAGATTCATTTGTTCATTTGTCATTACAAGCAAATTTCGACTCTCTGCAAGTTGATTTTCATATTTTCATGAAATCAATCAAACTAGAGCTGCAATGGTTAACCAGTGAATTGATGTAATCAAATCAACAGAAAATTAATGTATGCAGCAACGATTTGTTTGTTCAGGCAACTATGCTCCTCCATTCTCCAGTGTGAGGGTGCTCTGCTTGTCCTTGTTTTAAATCAAAACTGAAACTCCATGGGCTTTGAACTGTTACCTTGACAAAACAAGATAAAACTGAAGACTTCAGCCTGAAATCTGAACATTTTTCACCTTTCATTCTGTGACACACACACATACACAAACACACACAATGCATGCTCCTCGGCTGCTGCATCACAAGGGCCCTCCTGCTCCACTCAAACCAAGAAATAGACTCTCCTCGCTTACTCTCTCATTTCCCACTGTGTGTCACAATGCAAATGAACAATGGTCCCCCCAACTACACCCTCTCCTCACTGCCCCCCATCCCCCCACCCAGATACCCACCCATGTTCTGAATCCGGCCTCCAATTTGTTCCACTTCCCCATACCTCATTGTTCAAAATGACACTTTTACATTTTATGGTGAACCAATTATTCTGTCTTACACAGCCCGCTGGCTCTGCAAGCCAACCTGCCCAGATCAACTGGGGAGCTGGGTGGAGGGGTGGTGGGGCTTTCGGTGAGAGAGATAGAGAATGAGGGAGACAGCGAGAGAGAAAGAGAACTGGTGGAAGAATGGGAAAAGAGACAACTAATAGCAGAGGTGAAAGAGGTACAAAAAGCAGCAATACAACAGTGTAAAAATACTCTGTTACAAGTAAAAGTCCTACATTCCAAATGCTACTTAAGTAAAAGTGCAAAAGTATTAGCATCAAAACCCCTTTAAAGTACTAAAAGTGAAAGTGCTCATTATGCAGAACGGTACCTTTCACATTCCTGTATATCATATTATTGTATTAGAATGACTGATGCATTATTGTGTAGATCACATTGAATGTTGCAGCTGGTAAAGGGGAAGATAGCTTTAACTAGCTTATATGCATTTCATTTGAATTACTGCTGGGTAGCTTGTGAATTTTCCACCATAGATCAATGAGGTCTTATAACTATACTGTATTTTTGTATAAATCTGGTTCTGAAAAGTAACTAGTAGCTAAAGTTATCAAATAAAGTACAATATTTGCCTTTAAAATGTAGAGAAGTTGGCAGCACAGTGGCACAGTGGTTCGCGCCGTTGCCTCACAGCGAGAAGGTTCTGGGTTCGGGCCCCACCTGGGACCTTTCTGTGTGGAGTTTGCATGTTCTCCCCGTGCTTGCGTGGGTTCTCTCCGGGTACTCCGGTTGCGGGCCGGGATTGGCTCCGGACGCCCACCCCCGCGTCGTGACCCCGCCCAGGGAACAAACGGTAGAAAATGAATGAATGAATGTACGGACGCCCACCCCCCCGTCGTGACCCCGCTCAGGGAACAAACGGTAGTGAATGAATGAATGTAGTGAAGTCAAAGTATGAAGTAAATGAATATTCTCAAGTAAAGTACAAATATTTCAAAATTGTGCTTAAGTACAGTACTTGAGTAAAAGTACTTAGTTATTTTCCACCACTCTCGCTGACATATCCACAGAAAGGAGCTGGAAACCGAGAGGATAGCAAAAGGAGAGAATGGAGAAAGGAGGAGAGGTCAGGCGAGGAGACAAATGTGGAGGAAACAGCACAGGTGGATTCTTCTGCGCCGTGAAGTGGGGAGATGTGTGTGCATGATGGGGGCCGTGCGGGGTCAGAGAACAAAGTGAATGTAGACAAAAGAGGATTTAATTGAATGATAAAGCGGTGGAAAGAGAGAAATGAGTAGAGAGGGAGAGAGAGAGAGGAAATAAATCACAGCAGGGATAAATAAAGACGATGGAGTACTGGGTGCCCCACTAGTTGTAATGTAAGCCTGAGGACAAGTGGGAAGGTGTGTGGGATATTAAAGGAGGAGACAAGAAAGTGAGAGGAGCGAAACGGAGGAGTGTTAGGAGCTGAAGGAAAGGCAGGATAGGCCGCAGAGAGAGTGAGGGGACGAACAAGTGAACATGTGGAGGAAAAAAGACAAGCAGCGCTTTATACCTGTGATGTGCCTGAGGGGAGTGAAGTAGAAGGGGGGACGGCAAGGGGCGCGCAAAAAGATTTAAGAGAAGGATGGGACGGGTCAGCTATATAATGCCTGGGGCCAGGTGCGTGGAGAGAGGAGCAGGATAGCGGGAGAGCTGAACTGGAGGAGTGAACTGTATATATTTTATGTTATGTGTGGTTCGAGGTGGCAACGATTTATTTTTATTTGCATCAGTTATTTTTTGAATAATCTTTATGTTTGTAAAAAGTCAGAAAACAGTAAAAGAACAAACAAACAAACAAAAAACACTCGTCATACATTTCCAGAGTTCCAGAGTCTAAGGTAGCAACTTTTAATTGTCTAAGCAGCACAATAAAACCCAAAGCTGTACCATTAGCGGTGTAATAAAAGGCTGAGGGCTGGCACAGAGTTTTCAGTTGAATGACGTTTTAATTTTAACTTGAATTAGAAGAAAGTGAATTAAAACCAAATTAAAGGAAAGTCCTGATTCGACCTTTGATGACGATCCTCATGATCCACTTTAAACACTATTACTGTATAAATATATACAAATCTCTTATCTGGTGAGCCTACATGTCTTGTTATTCCACAAGTAAGCAACAACTGTAAACCCATCTCCCTGTTACAACACTGCAGACCTCTAAATAAGCAGCTAAGTTAATTAAAGGCACAGGTGCCAAGACTGAATAATTAAGATGAAAATCATGATCAATGAGAAACAATAAAATCAGATTTCTGAAAAACAGAGAAAAGCAGCAAATCTTCACATTTGGAAATGAGGGACTGAAGAATGTTTGGCACATTGAGAACTGACTCAAACATTTTTCTCTTCATATCCTGAACATCTCTTATGTGTTTCTGTCAGGGCTTCTTGGTTATGAGCGTTCCAGGTTGGACTCACCAAACTCTCCTAACGGTGCAAACCGTTAAATCTCATTTCAGTCCTCCTGTTCACGAGGAGGTGTGTGACTGTGTGATGTGTTAATTAGCATATGCCATGATATGCAATGCCCCTATATTGCCACTTCTGCTCCATGTGTGACCAGAGGCTGGTCCCCACAATGTGAGTGTGTTAACAGCTTTTGCTCCCCAAAGACTAAAAAATGATAAAAAAACAAAACAACAAAAGACAAAAACACATTTAGCAGTGTGAGTGGAAATGTCAAAGTGACCTAAAACAATTGAAAGCATGGACAGAGACAGATAAAGAATAAATGACTTCATGGTTTAGATGTTAAAAATCATCATCATAAAGCAAAGTGGTCCCTGACTTAGATGGCAGTCAAAGGGACCTGATAGTCACGGAGATGGACAAGAGAATACTGGGCAGCAGCTACAGCAGAGGGTGGACAGAGACCTACTTAGACAGCTGTCAGACTGAGGGAAGGCTTCCTAACAATGACCGAAATGAAAAGTCAAAGGAAAACAAACCCTCAAATGTGTTTTTATGTGCTTTCATTTATTTTTTGTATACAGTGCTTTTGATTTTTGTGCAAAGCACTTTGATCGACTTGCAGTTGTGTTTACATGCTACACAAATAGATGCTGATTTGATTTGAAACTTTTCAGTAAAATGGCAGCCTTGATAATGATATGGTGAACTGAATAGAAATTTTATATTGTTTATTTGGTTATATATTTGTATATTCATATATTTGAGTTGAAGGAAATATTATATTTACTCTCCAAATTCATTCACATCGAGGTATCATAATTTTTAAGTCATGCAACGTGTGTAAACCACTGATGAGTTTCGTTCACACCTAATAAGAAATTAATGTACGTCTGCATATACTGTATATCTCTCCCTCCCTCTGTCAGTGTGAAGTTTATCAGTTAACCAAGAAAAGGAATCCAGGAATTAAATTAGGTAAACAACACTTCATATTATCTCATCAACCAATCGGCCACTCAGCTGATCCGCCTTACCTGTGGTGAAATGTCTGAGGCAGGATGGGTGGGGAGGTGGAGGGGGCTGTCAGGCCGGGCGAGTAGGGGTGGTACGGCGTCTTCTTCAGCGCCTGGATCAGGTTGTGCCTATACTCGGGATCTATGGACCACAGAGAGCCCTTACCTATGCTCTGAATGAAAGAAAGAGAGAGGCAGAGAGGGAGGGAGGGAGGGAGGGAGGGGCGCAGAGGGGACAGGAAGATGGATGTTATTAAAAGTGCTATCGGGCCCCTCAAAGCTCAGCACAAACACAGCACAGCACACTGACCTGAGCCAACAAGTCCAAAGCCCAAACACAAGCTCAGAGTCCAACTTGTGTTGGATTATTATTTACCAACGCATCTGTACAAACAACGATCTGTGCTGATAGGCCGCTGCCTCCCTGCCCTCTGAAAACACACATCGGCCACACAAACATTCCCATACTCCCAAGCAAGGTAACAGTTGGAGGAATGAGAATAAATACATCCTCAATGCCACCTTGCTTGAGATTTTCCAGTTCTCTGCCTCTCCGTGCAAAAATATCACAACACTTTTTTTCTGATTAAGACACAGGAAAACTCTAACTTTCTCTACTGTAGAGGCAATGATGGTGTCTACTTTTAGATCAAAGCCGCTTCCCCCTCACCTAATGAAGCTGCCAGCCCCTGATCTGAGTGAAACCAGCCTATAGTTTATAGAGAGGGGAGGGATCTCAGACGGGCCGCCATAAAAACACACTCCCCATCTCTGGCTCTCACAGCTTTCTCGCTGCTTTCATCTGCTCTGTCATCTGAATGTGGAAAAATCCGGAGTTTGAATACAGCAGAGACTGAAAATGACAGGAAGAGAGAGAGAAGAGAAGTGAATATAAAATTAAAGCTGTCCTGCCTCATGTTCTGCTCACTTTGTAGTGCTCTGTGATATGATACAGGTACAGGCTGCAGGGTGGGGAGATGACTGTAGGCTTTGGATTTCTGCAAATACTGCAGATAATCTGTTAAGGGGGAAATGTCAGATGTGTCAGAGAAGTGCATATGAGCATTAATTCTCAAACTTAAAGTGCATTTTATGTTAAAATGCTTGAGAAAAGCACTTCCACATATCCACTACATACAGTGATTCCCAATATTTTAGCTTGTGACTGCTGATAAAACCACATTTTTTCTTTTCTCTCTAGTCAAACAGATAATTTTAGGTTTATGTGTCCAGGGTTTGAGGTATCTGAAAGTTTAGCCACTTTCCCACTTTGGAAATAACACCTTACAAGAAAGAAGCAGCTGGAAATAACAGCTAATGAGAAGTAGCTTAACCAACTTAAGAGTAGTGTCAGAAGCAACTGAAAGCTGACAGACAGTCAATGACTGAGCTACCACTCACTTCAGCATCTGAATCTGTAAGAATGCAAGAAGCTAAGTGTGTGCTGTTGGTTTGTGTCCCCACATCTGGATCTTTGAAATGATGATGTCAGTCCTGTTGAACACAGGCCATATGTATTGTGTTTTGCTCTGTGTGTGTGTGTGGGTGAGTGTGTGTATGGTGAGTTTCCTAGGGAGTGTGATATTACCCAGCATGGTCTGCTCCTGGGAGTCCTTCTATTACTGCCAGCAACGCCTCTCCTGGAGAGCATGATATTACACACACATACACCCGCTCCCACAGAGGTGACCCCCACTGGGCCATATTTCCCCTTGCACCTCTGACTCACCAGCCACTTGTATATATCTGTGTGTGTGTGTGTGTGTGTGTGTGTTTTACCTGTGTAAAGTGCGCGTCATTCTCCTGTCCCATGTCTGGATAAGCTGGATCTGGTTCAACATGATTACCGCTGAGCTGCTGACGTCTGTTGATCTGTGCCTCTGTCTCCTATTCCCCCCCCCCCACCCCCCAAAAAAACTGCTGATGATAGGCCAATCACAGGGTGCAGCTCACAGGAAGGGTCTGTCACCTGGGTTATAGCGGTCGCCCTGGTAACAGGCATCATCTGGACTTGGAAGCAAGAGGTGCTGAAACAAACTCATAGTTAAAAAAGACAACATCAGAGATGGGTTTTATGTTTTCTGATGTGGTTCAAGTTTGATACAGTATGACAGAATTTAAAAACAGGATGACTCTACGAGGGGGGGGGGGGGGGGG